AAACAAGCTTTCTAGAAACACATGCTATCACCATGTGGGCCAAAGAATGAGGTCTATGCGTGGCTCCCAAAAAATTGTGCTCCACATCGCGCATCATGCGGCTTGCCTGTGGAATAGGGTTATTAGTTGTGTTTTCTGCGAAATCATGGTTTGGCTTCTGCGTCTTTATGCAATCGACATCAGCTCAAAGTAATCAAAAATCACTGTTTCGCGAAAACGGCGCCAACAAAAACACCGGTTGCTTGATGTTCCGTAAAAGTTTTTTCAAAAAACTCTTGAGGATTTCTACCTAGACACGTAGCTCGCGGCGGTCATTGTCTTTATGGAGAGTATCAGCATAAGATATTCGGTAACCAATTCAAATTCGCATGTATCTCGTCGCACAAAAGTTCTCCTTTACAAAGTCACCAATCGCACATGGATAACCTTTCGGAATGAATTGTTTACATTTACCCGTGGCGGCCAGCATTGCGCGGAGCTTTGCGCAAGAGGTTGGCGATGGATAGTAAAGCAGTGCAAGCCTAAGGCTGCGGTCATACTGATCCTGAAGTTCGGGAACAGTTCCAGCACAGCGTTCGAACTAAGCGCTGTGCTAGAACTGTTCCCAAAGTTGCGGATTAGTATGAACGCACACTAAGGTGAGAGGTAAACGCACTGGATGCTAGTAAATACGTGGACAATCTTTTTATCGCTTACGTTGTCTATATTGCCTAATATTTAGCATTACTCACAATTGTCTCATTACTCAAGCAACAATGATGCTGAGAGTTGATTTAATGTGTTTTGAAACGAAAACTAAACAAGTAAGACTATCGAAGGTTTTTGATACATTTGATATGTTTGATATGTTTTGAAACGTGAACTTAGTAAGAAGTAAAGAAGTACGATTATCTGAAATAATGTCCAAGTAACATACGAAATTTTGCAAGCCCAAAAACTGGCACACAGGATGACAATCCTATCATAACTGACATTCGCTGGATTTACGAAGTGCAAATGGTGCTGCATTTTTTACTCGTAATCAGTTGTGGGCAGGGCGAACTTATAAATCCGTGCGTTTATTACCTTTCATCAGTCTCAAGAAAAGGATAAACAAGGTCAAGCGTGGGATGTGGCATGCAACACCTGGGGGGTCGTATTGAGGAATCAGGGAGTGGGGGTGGGGGGGGGGGTCGTTATCAAGGCGTCCGCTGTTCGCATAACATGATCTTCCTCAACAATGTCAAATAGGCCCGCCATGCAAAATACTGGCACATTGATGTTTGACCCATTATCGCACCCGTACAGTAAGCGTAATTAGAGATCTATAAAGCATAAGAGCATCGCATTGTAATTAGCAAGTGAAATAACTCCTGTGGTCCAAGTTTCAGCGAATTCTGAGGTTTTCAAATACACAACTACCAGTGAAATGGTCATTTTTGAACATGTTATTTTGTTCTAAAAGTAAGTTAACTTTTTTTGCGTTTATTGCAAAGAACTATTATTTTTTTGCTCACGTTAGGAATCCTACTTCAAATGGCCTCCAAATTAAGGAATTAAGAGCAAGCCAAGATCTCGTTTGTTCCATTTTTCGTCTTCAATATCTCAGGCTAGAGAAGACCGATAAGGTTCAAATCACTTTAATGTAGATTACGAGGCTTAGGCTATCGGATATGTACATTCTTGTTGTCTTTCCTTGCGATTCACGTAGTAGCGCAGACTTAGCAAGTTACCCTATCCCAATATTTTCGCAGTATTTTACTAATACTATACACTTGCATAGGTAAGGAAAAACGATTATATCTTGCTCTTGAAGAGACATTTTCATATGAAATTTCTGCTATGTAAAGGAGAAGGTTAGGTGCCACACCCCATTGACTATATCAGAAAGACCTTTTTAGCGAACTTTATTTATACGAAACGACAGCCTAGACCTCGTAGATTTCATAGGAGTGATTTGAGCCTGATTCGTTCTCTTAGCTCTGAGTAATATTTGGTGAAAGCACAGCCATTGAAAGTGAAAAATAGGAAAAACAAGATTTTAGTTGGCTTCTAATTTCAAAGTTGAAAGGTTTTTTCAAGCGAGATTTCTGAAGTGGCCAAAGAAGTAGTAGTGCTTTGTCTTGAGTGCAAAAATAGCTAGCTACTTCACCTTTAAAACGAAGTTAATCCTGCTGTAAATGGCTATTTCACTTGAGTGACCCAGTATCTTGCTTCAGAATTCGCTCAAACATTGTCTACAGGAGTTAATTGACATGCTAATTATGGACAAGTTGCCCATTATGTTTGTCAGGGCCTTCAAGTAATGCTATAAGGTATATAGTTTATAGTTCAGGGGGTCTTATTGAGACAGCAATAAGGGGGGGGGGGTCTAACCAGCGATTGTGTGCCACACGTCTTGCTTGACCCTGAGGATATATCAGTGGCCTTGAGTTTTTGATATGTGGTTCTGCTAGAAAGCTTGCTTCGTACCGCTGATATCGTGATGTTCGTTTTTTTTGCGGGAGAACTCTGAATAAGCCGCGAGAGGCGTTTTTCCTCTCGGCCAACTTGTTTGCAATAGAGCGTCATTTGTTGATAGGTGCTAAAGATTTCGTGTTTTCACAAACGCGTTTTCTTTCCAGAGAATCTTTTCGTAGATAGCAAACGTTTTCGAAATCGGTGTTTCAAGGCGAGCGTTTTAGTTAACACACTGCGAAAGCCACGGCCGCAAAATATTTTTCCCTTTTTGAGAATGAGAATTCGGTATAGTATTATTGTTTCAAATGGTACCTAATAATACGCATTTCCTCGGACTAGTGCGCACGAGCAGCGATGTCATGGTAGCATGTTTGATCGAAGTGACTGGTTAAGCTGAGAAGCAAATACAGATCACTAGGTAAGTTTTCAGCACTGGTCTCAATTCTACCTTCCAATGCGAAAAGCTCTTCTGGAAAAGGTTAGCACCAATCATTCCAGGATCTAGGTGAAATTTGAGATCATTGCCGCCTGTTGTAGCGCAGCGGTGCCTAAATCCATGTTGGATCCCTTTTTCTTTTCTTACAAACACCTATTATTAGCTCAAAATATTTGTGCATAAGTTTATTTATCTATAACCTCTATGTAGAAGTGAGAATTACGGAGCCACACCTAGTTCTAATGCAGAATAAATATGGACAAATGTGAAGAGCGAGGACAAAATGTTCAAAATAAAGCGGTTTTTCGAAGCGGGAACAATGACTAAAGTTACTTCTGTGCAATTCAAACACTCACATTCATCTACCAGTTCAGAGGAAAAACAAATTACAAGCGATGCGGGAAACATCTCGCAGGTCAGTATCGATTACCAATTTTGCCCTCCATAACATGTTGATATATTGCGAACTCGTATTTTGTGGGCCTGTCTCTTCTTGAAGGCATTCGCTTTATGGTGTGAGATATTGGCATGCAATTATAGGGACTTGTAAATGGTATGCTTGAATGATTTTGAGTTAGTATCAGGTGTCTGATGCGGAAAGAATTAACATGTCAGAACTCGTCTGAGGGATCGTTCAAACCACGCCGGAATCCGTCCAAAAGCGCTTGAATACGTCCAAATTCGCCTGAACCCGCCCAAATACGTCCGAATCCGCCCGAACCCGCCTAAACGCCGGAACTGCCAAAGCGCAGCAGATATACGGCAAATTGGCATGCTGAAGCAGGCATGGAATACTGCGCGCCAGTGCGGACCGAGGGGGGAGGAGCACGCCCCCCCCCCCGAGAGCGTGGCTAACGCACTCCGAAGAAATTTGAAAAAAAATTTTGTCGCCCCCCCCCCCCACCCCGGTTCGAAATCCTGGGACCGCCACTGTTGCGCGTAGTGCATATATCTTAGTCACACGTAGCTCGGTGTTACATACCGATCTTCTTTTGCACTACCTCTATATTAGAGATATCAATCGCACGCGTGCTCCAGTATGCCAAGAAATCAAAATTTGCTTAGATCCTCAAGCAGGTATTTCTTCGTTTGATATTTTAAGACCTTAAGAGAACATCAATCTTTTGCAAATGTCGTTTTTTGTAAGAAATACACTTTTTGATAACCTTTGAGCTAGAGATCAAGTCTTTCGATATCATGCAAAATCATGGCTCCCTTCCTTGAATGCAATCATTACAACTTCTGTAAGACGATTACCTCCTGAACACAGAAAACAGACTGTCTGCGCTTATCTTCTAAGGAGAGTCACCTAACTAAGTTTGGCTTTTTGGCAAGAGACAAACAAATTATATATTCTGAGTCAGCTTCAAACGCTGATTTCAAATATGCTATCCAAAAAGAAGCTTAACATAAGTGTATTAGCACTCAAATGAAGATGCCGCGATTCCAGCGAGTTGATGAGTATGCAAATTTTGCGCAGGAAAAAGCCCATAACTACTTTCGGAATGGTGCGTGGCAGCTAGGAATAGCATAGTTCGAATCAGCATTTGAAGCTGATTCAGAAAATAAAGGCTACTGCATAACAAAGGCGCAGAAGCAGTATTAGTTGAGCGGGCGCGAACGCGGGGCGCGTAACCTTCACGTTGTAAGCGCTGCGTTTTATGCGCTCCGCGGCTAATAAAGCCGCCCAAAGACATTGCGCCTTCGTCAAGCAGCAGCCTATGCATGTCCCTTGCCAAAAGGCCGAGCTAAGTTAAGTAGCTTCCCTTGTCAATACGTAAGATGAATAGATTGTTTTTACGCAGCTCAATATAGCCTTTCATTTCAATTGTTTCATTGCAACAACGTAAGAATCTTTGCGTGTACTTCTTCCCTTTGCAACTTATGGATTCGGTTAGGTTACTGTTTATATCGTGATATGTGAATACATTCGTTGATCCAAATTCAAATAAGCTGCAAAGTCCTTTTCTTTCATAAAAGTTCAGACACATATTGACACATTGTGACATAAAATTTTGTGAATGTACAAACTTTATTAAGTAATATGAGATGATTAGTGTTGCACACCGCTGAGCATGAGTTCATGGTAGACTGATAAAATATAGAAAAATAATTATAGACAGGATCAAAAGCCATCTTGTTCATCCAATGGGGCTTTCATCTGTAATCAAAGTAAGATGAGACAGGGAAATTTCAAGAAATTCACTCACCTTGAGATCTCGTCTTGCATATTTCTTTGCTGCATATGCGAACTCTTTTGTGAAGTCGCCTAGAAGCATTCAAAATTGTGATTCGATTCTCTAAGAAGATCTCTGATGTTTATCGAGGAATCTATAGGAAATCCAATAAAAAGTGAGCATTTTATTGCTGCGATTTGCTCCAGATTTGCAGGTTTTTTACTTTTTTTATCCGAAGTGAGAGAGGCACGCGTCGAGAGTGAACAAGTGATTTATTGCGGTATTCAAAGAGTGCAGACGACCTTTCGAGAAAGAGTAAGAGATTAGTTTAATTTCTTTGTTTCGAAGTTGAAGGATGACGCAGCTATCTTCTTGTATTTTATTTTTCTCAACTAAGAATCAATACTCGAAATGAGTAAAAATTTCTTTTTAACACTATAACTTATTAGCGAATGACTCAGCAAAAAATTTTTTACTTACTTCGTAATAATCGGAAGGTTTGAGGTGAAGCTTTGTAGATTTCAACCAGTGTTGAGTCTTCGGCCTTTTTGAACGAGTCGTGAAGTTCGGCAAAGAAAGCCGCCAAGAACATCGAACGCAGTGGGGTTGGCGCCGATAGTGACTCGAAGAAGATTATCCAGTACTAAAAATTGTAAAAAAAAGAGAATGGACTGCGATGGAACGTACAATGTCGTGATGTATGATAGAGGAACAGGTACCTTTTGAAAGGCTTCCTTACTGGATGCAGGTAACTTTCTGATGGTTTTAATCAACTTGTTCAGAGCAGTATTTATATTCTTTCCCAGTTCTGGCAATCTGCAAATTGCGCTGTGAGAAAACGTGGTAAAAGAATGCAACTAGCCACAGAAAATCAGAAATTTTTTGTGGTAATAGAAATTACACCAATTCTGTCATCAATGTTCGCAGCAATTTGTCAACAAAAATTTATTTTTGTTCAAAAGCTTATTCAAAACTTCCACCTAATACTCCAATGACCTGCAAGTTCTTCAAATTTTCTTGAAAACGAGTACTTATAGCCTCTTTTAGCGTTTGACAGTTCAAGAATTTCGTTATTCGAAAATGTTTTTCTGCTATTCGCATCACATTACCGTAAAGCAGTGACAAAAAATTACAATCGAATTGTTTGCAGAAACTCGGACAGCTGCTCAACCCCGCAGTAAATCTCTCTGACATCTACTTCGAAAAAATGTGTAAACATTGCATTTCCGATTTGCACAGAAAAATGCAGATTACTCAATGGAAAACGAGTAAGATAATAAAGATAGAATACCTTTGCCGAATGATCTCAATCGTTTCCGATGGCTGTGCTGAGAGTTCTACGTAGTCGCCGCGGATTTCATTAATAAATGTCACCAATTCCCTTTTTGTTGCAGAAGATAGCTGAAACATGTAAATGATGATTGAGATGTGATAAGCCACCAAAAAAAAGACTTACATTCTGGAAGACTAGCATCACTTCTTTTGGAATGTACTCTGGAATTGACAAGAAGGATTAGTCTGAACGACTGACACTATGAAGTTGTTGTTCAAATGCTCAAAATATGTTTACAAAACAAAATGGGTTAAGACTTTGATTGCAGATTAGGCTTCAATACAAGTTTAACTTCATAAGTTTCGTTGATCGAACTTTTTTCATTCGTAATAAGGCCATAACAATAAAACCAAAAGAGCTCTTCACCTTGGAATTGATTCAAAACAGCATTTTTGAAGATCAAAAACCCTTGAAAATGCAGCTAAGAATTAATTCATAAATATTTCGGTCCATTTTCCGGCAAAAGCCACAAACTTTCAGAAAACTGGTAACTTCAAAACATAGTGAGCCAATGCGATTTATCTGGTACATTTTGAAGATTCGCATAGCACCTAGTCTTGAGTTGGTGACAGCCGGAGAAATCGCTCCTCTTGACCGTCTCTCGGAACGGAACGGAGAAGTGGTATCTATTAATCTTACACATTTGTTTTTTGGAAAATATTTTTAAATTGTAGTAGAAACGAAATTCCAAAAGTCTCATTCAGGATTTGTTTCATTTTACTATACTACTTGCATTCAAAAAAATTTACCTATGTCTTTGTGATTTTTTGGGTCATTTTTACTCGTCTTCAGAAAAAAATCTTGTTTTTTACGTAGACTCATCTTTAATCTTCGACTAAGGTAAGTGGCTGATAGATAAGTAATTGTAAAGGCTTTCATATAGATATGCATTGCATAAACTACGATATTTACAAAGACTATGTCCAACCTGGAAACTCATTTATGGCTGTCAGGAAGGTGTTCAATTCCCGCACCGTAAGTCTCCGCTCTGATTTGAAAAGCCGGCGAAATATAGCGCCACCTTCGCCATCGTCGTGGATAACATAGCGAGAAGAGCACAATGAGACTAGTGATGAAACCAAGAGTAACCGATGCATGCCTTAAAAAATTCCGGATGTTAAGAGCAAATGGGTCATAGAACTGGCAAAATCAAGGCATAAGAATTCGAATTTCAAAGGGATAATGCGCTTTGAAAAGAGAATCTGCATGGAACGATGGAAAGCTGTGAACGTAAACGTCTTTTGCGAGTTTTTACAAAAATAAAGTGATGTATGCAAATGGCGCGCGTGGCGCATCTTTTGGGAATTACGCGCCGAATTCTCTTTCTTCATCCCAGTTCGCGGTGTCAAGGTTACGTAAGGTGTCGACGAGAGTTTGATCGAGTAGCCAAGTGTCAAGAGACGTTGCAGCTAATAGAGATTAGGACGACAGCAATTTTTTCCCTTGCCACTCAATTATGACGAGGCGCGAGAGTAAATTGAATTCGAGAATGTGGACAGGTTGCGCAAGTAGATTTTCTCGTTGTCATTTGAAGATTCATCTAAAAAACTACCCGGATCTATTGTAGTTTAAAGGAGTGACCATGGGTGCAGCAACGATTAGAAGGCTGGATAGTAAGTCTTGCCTTTGAAGATTTGTAACATTTCTTAATTTCAACGCGTTTGTTTGACAATAATTTTTGTCACAAAAGAGATATCAGGCTTTAGTCGCTTGACGTGACGGCTCCCTACCAAGCACTGGTCACAGATAAATATGGAGGAAGAAAAACTACTTTGGCTTTGATTATATTGCATTATATTGATATAGCTTACAAGGGAGGTGTTTTCGGTCGAAGTGGCCTTTTCAAATTGAATTGATAAGGCTATAAAGAGCATCAAACGCTGATTCCAAATCTGTCTTCGTTATCTGCCGAGCGCCCCTAGACGTTGAGTTATGAGCGTTTTTTGAGTTGAGAAATTGAATGCATACTTAGGACAATATTCGTCAGAATTGCTCAAATGGTGCAATGTTGATTATTAAACCACTTTATTTGGACAATATGTTTTATCCAAAGCATTCATACTTAACACTGCTCTATTTGAGCGCTGAGAAGACCGTAAAGTTTTATTTTACTTAGATTATGCCTTCATTTTTCGCATCAAGAAAATATTCATAACTCAACGTCTGGAGGCGCTGCAAGTAACGAAGACAGATTTGGAATCAGCGTTTGATGCTCTTTATAGTCGTATCAATTTCATTTGCAAAGGCCACTTCGACCGAAAACACCCCCCTTGTTAGAAAAATCTTGAACCCCAAACAATCTAAAACAGTCTTAAACAAAAGAACCGAAGATTGGTCAATTGGTTTCATGACTTAACTTGTCACAAATCCAAAACGTTGCAAAACTGGTTATATAACTCTATGACCTACTTTTAAGTGAAAAATGTCTGTGCTAATCGGGCCTAATTAGTTATGATTTTCGAAAGAAAAATGCCTAAACAAATTACTTTTACTGATCTGTACTGTTAACTCAATAATCGAAGCTTTCGCAGAAACATCCGATTATACAAACAGAGATTGTACAATTGCGCATTTAACTCTTCAGAAAAAACGAATCGCGATAAATTTTTCCGTCACTGCGCATTCATCGTGAAAAAGGCGTCGGGTTGTTATAACTTCTTCTAAAGTATATTTCAAAAAAGGCTGAAAACATCACTGGACGACTTGACAATCTGGTGATTTAGCATGCATTCCTACCACCGATGTTTTTATTGCGACAAAACCGTCGCACTGCGCTAGGCTCTCTAAGCCTTATGGATTCACGAATAAACTTGTGTTCTGTCGAGTTTTTGACTTAGAAGATGCTTTGTAGATTCAAAAAAAGCTTTCGCACAAAGCATTTGGTAATTATTTAGAATGTTTTCTCCGAACTCAGGTAAAATTTACGCAAATTTTGAACAATTTACAAAGTTTCTAGTAACTGAAAGCAAATAGCATTGTGGTACTTTTTCATTGAAAAATACGACTTATGAAATATTGTGTAAGCTGATTTAACCTCTAAAAAACGAGTTACCAAAGTGCGAATTTTAAGGACTCATAATTTTTGAAGTTATGCATTTGTGGCCAAATGAAAAAAAAAGACTTATGCGTGTTCAAGGAGTCTAGCGCAGTGCGACGGTTTTGTCGCCACAAATACGTCGTGGTAGTTCAAATATAAGCATTCTCGAAATCTCAGAGTGTATTATAAACTACCAAATTCTCTGTCATCCTGTGATGTTTACAGTTTTTTCTGAAATCTACTCTAGAAGAAGTTATAACAAGCCGACGGTTTTTTTCACGACAAATACGCAAAATACGCAGTGACGGATGGGAAATTTTTTACAGCTTCCAGTTTGATAACCTATCTCAAAAATGATGAAAGCCTTGAACGGCTTTGTTATTAATTTTGCAATTGGTGCTTAGCAAGGAGATTACAAGGAGATGGTTTTGCTTTCTAACAAAATTAGATTATCCAAACCCGTTAAGATTGCTAGAAACTAGAAATTTTCGAAAATGAAATTGCTTGTTCCAAAATAAATCTCTCCATTATGCCCATCAACCAGCGTCTATCACTTTGGCAGTTGAAATGCGAAAGCATAAACCACAGGAAGCAAAAGCATTGCCGATCAAAAATGGTAAGAGAAGGAAATTACTGCACATTTCGTTTATCGCGTTTGCTAAACGTTTTAAACGACTGATATCAATGAAAATGTGTAAAACTTCCTATCAAGGTAGTTGATTCAAGGACGGATCGAAATTGCAACAAGCTATTGCAAGAGACATTGTTGTTCCAGTTGTTTTTCTTTATCAGTAGTGTAATCTCACACTATCATACGTTTCGAACAAGACTTTGGACAAAATTTAATGTCATGGCCTTGTTGTGAAGAAAAATCTGTGCAATCGACAGTCAGACACACTTATGGCACTTCAATAAAATTATCCCTATTCTTCACAAAAAAGATAAAGAGGATGTCAGAAGTGTACAGTAAGGCAGGAGAGAAGCCATTGAATAGCAGTGCGGAAGAATCATTGTCAAATTGTTTTTGACAATGATCTGAACACACGCTGTGTCGATGTCAAAGCGAGTGAGAGAGACTTGAATCTGTATATGATTCTTAGCTAGCTGAATAAAGCATTGCATTAGTTCCCTTACGAAAAATGTGTCGAAGAAGCCGAAAAATCGTAGCATCTGGTCGAACGTCTTGCATAATAGCGTTGATTTCACGCTCTAGCGACTTCAACTTTTCGGATTACAAAGATCAAATCTTTGGCGCCAAATTTTGACTTTAACTCATTTAAAAGCTTAGGTTGCTTGAAAACCAGAATACGAGTTAGAGGTAGTATTTGGGCAGGTCTTATGCATACCGTGACTGGAATGTCTTGGCTAAGCCACTGCTCGAGTGACAGCTTAAATGACTCGAGATAGAAAAGAAAGAGGGAATTGAAGCCAAGTTTTAACCCAGATCGTACTTGTTTTCTACCATACTCGCACTTGATGAATGCTCGCTTGGAGAAGCACGGTTTGGTTTGAAATTTTTGAATTCAATCTCTTTGACTTGATCGGACGACATAAACTGTTTTCTAACTAAGCATTTCTTAACTAAGGTTTTTATTGGCATATAACAAATTTTGCCCGGCGTTGCCTTTCAGGTGAATTCTGTGCTGCGAGATAAACTAGCTTGGTCATAAGCGCATGTTAAGAAGTAGCTCGAGGCCTTGAAATCTGATGAATAAATTAGGTATAATATAATAACAAGTAATAATATATTATAATATCAAGCCAATACATATGTTTTTTACACTTAAAAAAAGAATTTTTTTTTGATTTGCAAAGGATTGTTCCTCATTTCAAATGGCATGGGCGGCTATGAATCATTGATATAGGTGTCAGACATGAAGAGTCCAATTTGTGGGTTCTTTAAACTTTTCCAAAGTCTTTTTGGCAAACTTTCGATTTGCATTGGGAAAGCAAAACGTGCAGCCTTCGTAAATTAGTGATGCTCCCGGAAGTTCGTAAAAAATATGAACATTAAAAACGAGTAAGGTGAAAATGAAGAAGAACCGGAGGTAGAAGTGTCACTGAATGCCCTTATAGTTGCTGTACATAACTCATGTACTTGAATCAAGATTGATGTAATTTGATAGCCTTATAATCCTATATCGTTCCTATGGCTAGATATGAGGCTTTGCCGAATTTTTCGGAGCTTTCCAGATGACGAAGAAAATGTAATAAAAGTCATGTAAACTAGCATAATGCAGAGAATTTTTTTCTTGAGGCGATTTATACTTTGACAAGAATAGGCAATTTTTAGATCAGCACTATACCTTTTTTGTTCTTTGCAAAAGTTGAAACAACGAAGACAAAAACAAAGTAGTGATTCATAATCAACTCTTGAAAAGGAGGCACGATGTCCAAGAAAAGTGCATAGCTCGTCCACTTATGCGCAGTCATGAAAACTTGCTGGAAACGCAGAAAGTCCTCGATAACAATGAAAAACATCCACAGATGTTCTTTACGGAAAAAAGAAAGAATCTTTTCTTGAGAGCTGAGCGCTTCCATGTATATAGTCGGCATTCGAACCGGTTTCTCTTCTAATCCTACTGTTGGCAAGTATTGAAAGGATGTTGCAACCAGCCATTTATAGTAGTAGGAGTGAGGTTAAGAAGCTGTTGTAGCGAAGGTAAAAGCTACCTTAGAATCAGCAGATTTGACAGTTAGGCTAAAGGCTAAGGGACGAGTTAGGTTAAGCGCTGGCAGGTCTCACTAAATATTGCCATAAACTATATAACTGAGCTAGTTTCAAGAAGAATTAGAACTCTTGAGTCTTTGTGGCGCCGACTATTTGTCCATCAAACCCAGAGGGCAAGAGTTATGGGATTCGCAAGCCAATTGCCTTTTCACGCAACCTCATTGAGATGAGATGGATTTACAACCTATATGTTGAATTATTGCATACGATCCTTGAAGGCAGAGTCCAGTCAAATCCAAGCGATGGGTTTTTTGTCTGGAAACTGACGAGGGGACCCTAACTAAGGCACTGCCCAAATTTCAGCGCAATTCATTCATTCATTCACGGCTGAGAAACATTCCCAAACACATCGCGCCAGCGGCGTGACCATAACTCGCAAGTATGTTACGATGGGTCCCAGCGCGAACGTAGTAATAAAGTAAGCAAAGTCATTACCGGTTCACAGTCACGGCACAGGCGCTGAGAGTTTGGGGACGGATTTCTCAGCCGTGAATCATTTGCGCTGCCGCTTGGGCAATGCCTTAGTTATGCCCCCCCCCCACCATCATTTTCCAGGCCAAAAACCCATGCGCCCCAACTTGCCTAGACACTGCCTCTAAAAGCTCGGCTTACCATTCGCAATAAATTCAAGATATTCAGCAGAAATCACGACCAGAACGTTCGGAGTGCGATAAAAGTGTAATTGCTTATTCAAAATACAGCAAATTCTTGTTCACTTCTAGAAGTGAGTTAGCTTTACATTTATGCATTCCTGCCTTTCTTCTGTAGTCAAACCACTCAAAATATTATACAGAAAATTTGCTAGGTAACAACCCCGAATATTCGTCACATTTTGCACCAAAAAACGCTAACTTACCACCAATCCGGCGATTTGAACTTTACGTCCGGGTTATCAACGTGAACAAATTTGGTTTTCAGTTGAAAGAAAACATAAGAATGACGGTGCTACCCTTTTAAGGAACTCCAAACAAATGCGATCTGCAATCCTATTGCCCTCTTCATTGTCTTGAATCTTTATGCAAAGACTGAATTGACTGTCGATTCAGCTAAGCCCATCAGGCGAGGAATGAGTTGTAGTCTTTGAGGATTTCCGTTAAATGCAATTCTGTTGTTAAATTCCATCAAGATTTTTTTTTGTGTACATGAGCTATTTCCGCCTGTAACCCATATCGTATACGTCATATTGCTTCTCTTAGGAAAAACTACAAACTTTTTTCCATTTTTGGTGTTTCGATTTCAGCTGAGTAACCAAGGTAGGATTTATTGCAATTTTCATAATTCGCAATTTTTTGCATTTTTAAGCAATTGCCGGCTTCGTTTGATTGTGGTTATTATTTCTTTTGAAGATGTATATTAAGATTAATTTTCTTCGGACCGCTCTTCTACTTTCGAGATGGCTGATTGCGATATAGATAACTCTCTATAAGATTATAACAAGTCCCTGGTTAATTAAGCCTTTATTTTTTTACTGGTTGGTTTCGAGGAGACGGTTAATAATCCCTCATCTTCGAATGATAACAGAAGTGGAACAGAAATTCCATTCCTTATTTCGATATCTCAAGAAACCATTGCTGTCAATTTTGTGGAGCTGTTGCTACCATTCATTTCTGCCATGTAAACATTCTTTCATATCACCGACCTGACCAGCATTATCAAAAAATACAAAAATATCCATTGTATGCCCAGCCTATAAAAAGCTGTTTAGTCATCAAAGTAATCATAGAGTCAAATCTTGAAGCTATTCAAGGTTGCCGTCACCTCAAGTGTTCAACCACAAGTTAAAAATACTCATCGCTACGTGCCAGGTCTGAGACGGAAATTTTCTTAACCTGATGTGTAAACAGTAAAAGGTTCTTCCGTCTGTGATATAGAGTCAGCACACACTGTTTGATTTGGATCCACGTCAAAGTTACAAAAAAAATGACCGAGTTACACCCATGAGGGAACCAGCCGTGCACTTGGAGATAATGTATATGGTTGTGCAAACACTCGAGCAATGAACAGAGCGTATGCTATCTGACTCAGTGCTGTCTCGGAAGCTCTTTAGAGGATGAGTTAACTTAGCATTAATGTGTACTTTGGTCCTGTTCAGAGTGCACATAGGATGTTTATTGAGCATCGGATAAAATTCTTAGAGATGCACTTCTCATGGCTGAGTGGTCTAGTGGTATGATTCTCGCTTAGGGTGCGAGAGGTCCCGGGATCGATCCCCGGCTCAGCCCGAATTTTGAGTTCCAAAAACTACATTATGTTGCAGATCTCGCTTTTGAATATTGCTGCCAGATGTGTGTTTGCGTCAATAATAGCCGTTCGCTAGTAATTTCAAGAACTGCGTCGACATTTTTCAACAAAAAAAAAACGATTACACTTTTTATGGCAACTTTTCAACCTAGCATTGCTTTCAGACATTTTTTCAAAAAAAAGTTTTTGCAAAACAACGCATAAATTATAAAAATTCAAAGGAGCCTGAAAATCTTCGCTTTCTGTAAGGAACAGCCTCAAATTTACATTAAAATAAAGCCAATTTTACTAGACAAATCACTTGAAGGAACAAAGTTCAAGGCAGTTTTTTTTTCAAGCTATGGCAGTACAATTCATTCAGTTAGAGCAATTTCATAATCATGAGTTAGGAAGAACCTTCTGAACAATATTTTGCTGATTTTGCAGGTACGATCTTCTATGACGGAACCATCCAGCGTAAACTCCTACAGAAATACTAGGTCCATACGTATAAGTGGTAACAGGAACGGTGTTCCTTGCTGATTCTACTGTGTTTATGATACAGCAAGCTACAGTAGCAAGGTTTCGATTCGCCGCATCGAAGAGCGATCTCATTCTTCTGTCGGCTTCTTCTTGAGAGATTGTCTGAAACAAGAGTACAGTCACTGTTAAAGACGATGGGAGAAGCAAATGTCGGTAAAAACTGTATAAACTCTACGCTCAAAAAGCTCCTGTATAATTAAAAATGAAAAGAATTTTTTACGCATGGTTTGAATTTTAACTCAGCATGATACAAACAATCCTTACCTGATCGTTCCTTACGCTTAGATAATCCGCCATGAAATTATGAATTTGATCCAATATCGTATTGACGTTGTTCTCTATATCGGTATTGATCTGATCTACTCTTCTCTGATAATTGTTCAGTTCTTCCTGAACATCTGCCTTTTCAAAGGGGGACTACACATTGTTATTACGCGTACAGTCATATTGTACTGGTTTGCCCAGTCCTGCATCCTTGAGTTAAGCTGATTTCTTGGGGTTGTGTAGCTGTTCTGAAAAGTTAAGCTGTTAACAATGTACACTTTCTATAGATTTTGATGGTAGAATGTGTGTTTGCACAACATGGCACGTTGCGCGAAAAATTTAGGGTACCCTTAGCCATTGGTAGGGCATAAGTTTACATGATATGATGCCAATAATTGTGAAGAACAACTCATTTACTGTTTTTCTCACGGTTATCTGCGCAATGATAAGTCAAAACTGATATTAGTCGTAACTAATATAGTCACTTACCGCTGTGATTCTTCCAAACTCCCGAAAAGCATCGAGATTCGTAGATTGTAAAAAGATATACTGTGGAGTGGAGACGCACCAACAGCATCCTTGAGCCTGTGAATTGTAAGCAAATCAGCTGCAAAGATTGTGTGCAAAGTTTTTGATTGGATGAAATTCATAATTAATTTCTGTTTATTGTTACTTCAAAAAATCAAGACCTTGACGAACCTAATCTAGTAAAATCCTTGAATCTTAAGTTTATTCTAGCGAACTCAAGGCAAGAATCTGCAGAATGCTTGGCACTCAATAATGCCTATCACATGAATAGAAGTCCAGAATTACGATTTTTTCCTGTGGTCGTATTCATCATTGATACCTTGAGGTAAATTCTACCTCTAGGTAGTTTTATCACTCATTATCAGCAAAATTACATTGAGAATTTACCTCAAAGTACTTTTGTGAATACGGGTACTTGCTGATAATGAGTGATAAAGCTACCCGGAGGTAGAATTTACCTCAAAGTATCAATGATGAATACGGCCACTGGATAAGACGCTCATCACTCTAAATTATAGACTTTGTTGCCTACAAAACATGGTTTTCAAAGTTTTGTTATTATATAATGCAGATTCTTCGACCAGTTTCTTCCAGACTTTCAAGACCCTTGAGATGTGAGGCCCAGGCTAGAATTCGCTCGAAAGCGCCCAAAGCGCCAAAAACGCCCAAATTTCTGTAACTTCTTTTTACTTTCTGTACCTCTCCTCACACGAGAAAGCTAAGAGACATTAGAGAAATTTGGAACGGACATTAGACGCAAGATATCAGCTCGTGAGGTTTTCGCTTACTGTAGCATATTCGATGCGTTTGTATACTATGCGTTTGTGTAACCTCTACGAGATCAACATTTTCAGCATCTCAAAGTTCTATGTATGCAACTTTACAATAGCTGCAGAAATCTGATAGCTGACTTTGAGTCAACAGAACTTTGAAGTGCTGAGAATGTTGAAATCGTAGAGGTTCCTAAGCGAAGTCTATGCTTGATGATTGTTTTATAAAAAATCAAATCGTTTTCAATTTACTGGGGAATGTTACTCCTTTTCAACTACTCCTGCTCACCTAGGATATACTACCGTATATATTCAGAGAACATAAAAGCAGTACTGCAAATATTTTGCTACCATATGTGCGGTTGGTTGACTTACCGTTATTCCTTTCAAGATAGTAAACACTATGAGGGCTTGCAAAAGTTGACGCATTCTGAAATAATATCCATCAATTTGTTGGGTTACGATTTTGGGACTCAGGAATTACAAAATAAACACATCGCTTGAACTCAAAGAGAAGAGCAGTGATAGTTGCTATAACACACAGAGAGCGTCATTTATACCAGTATGTGTACCCGAGAGCTTGTGCGAACGGCCGCTATGTACTTACAAAGTTGTTATCGGAAACATTTTCAAGCGCAAGGTGAACGTCTGTGCTAGATGTTTACTCAGTCGAAGGGATACTCCCAAGTAGAATCCTGCAGTGCAAGGTATGATCGCATTGCATTTAGGACCCATATACTTAGTTGTCCGGGAATAATATAATGTCGCATCATGACTGCATGTATTAGGTCGTTCCATAATTTCGTAGCGTTTTTATAAACGAACAAAATCATCAATTTACAGCCAAAATCAATCAAAATTATATTCCTCGTTGTAGCGCACGACCTTTTGGCACATTCTTGTTGGCTTCTCAGTCTCAACTTTTCAAACGGCAGCGCCGGCTCCCAAGAAAGTCATCTAACTAGCGCTCAAACTACTTACTGAAATCGAGACAGGCACCATTCATAAGATTTGCCAACAGCGGAGCAAATAAAAATGTGATAGAGCGAGATTTGAAGAGTACTTTGGGTGCTGAAGTACCTTGTAGTCAAATCGTGCAGGAAGTTTTAACGACGTATGTTAAAGAGCACAACAGCCCCTCCATGTGTATGCACATCTTGCCGCAAATCAACCGTTCCTCAAAGATATGAGGACGAAAATGAATACGCTACGAACTTATGGAACGATCTATTAATTCCAAGGCTAAACACGAAAAAAGTGAATGGGCTATCAATTGATGGAGCAAAGCAAGCTCTACAAGATGAAGTTTGACACGTCTACGACAAGCCATTTTTTCCATGCCTGTCCATTGGACGAGCTGCCACCGTGTACTTCTACACCTACTCAGACAATCGCCGGGGGCAGGCGGGCACCGGAAAAATAGATTGCTGATCTCTCGCACCCCGCTCGCGAATTTTTTGGAAAGCAATCAGGACTTTTCGGAAGACCGCTTGCTGAGTTCTCGATTCCTCAGAGATTCAGCAATATATCTGCAAAAAATAAGAGCGAAAAAATTCAACAGGCGGTCTCTAAAAAATCCGCTGACTCAGCAAGCGGTCTTCCGAAAAGTCCTGATTGCTTTCCAAAAAATCCGCGAGCGGGGTGCAAGAAATCAGCAATCTATTTTTCCGGTGCCCGCCTGCCCCCAGCAATTGTCTGATTAACTGCATAGTAAATGCATGCACCTATGCGTGTTTGAATATACAAGTGGGCGTGACGACCCCGCCCACTCGGCAAAAATGCTGAAAATTGCTTGCGCTTCAGGATTCGTGCAGATTCCAACATTTTTGAAAAGTGGGCAGAGCTTTCCACGGCAAAGTCTATCTCACGGCGGGAGGAGCTAAGGATAAGTCACTTGAGGTTCCCCAGTCAAGTATGACCTCTTTTATGCGGTGTGAGCAGCGTTTCTCACAGATGGCAACGAGTGGGCGAAGTCTGCCAAGAGAGGGGCGGGGCCAATATGAAATATTTCTGAACCTAAGTTTATTATATGAACACGATTTAGAGCGATTGAGCACATTTGAATTGATATTCAGGGTGCCGCGCATCATTGCGCGTCGTCTCCGCAGGGAGACAGACTGGCAGCCGCGCACCATTGAGCGGCACCGTCATCAACGTGATAAAGACCCATATTAAGTTCAATTTTATGAAGCCAAATCTCAAAAGGCTGTGAATGCTCAAAAAATTTGAAAAGTCGTATGTCAGTGAAAAAAATTGGGTTTCCACTTGCTCACGCACACACTCCTTTCATTAGACATTCGTATGCAGACATATATTTTATAGCATAAACTTTAAAAGTATACCTACAAATTTCCAACTTTCTACAAGAGCTAGTTTTCAAAAAAATTTCGAATTTAGCACAAATTCTCCTAAAAACTGCATACTTTGAGCTGTCTTCGATTCGTATTCTAGTTATGAAGTTGATTCCATTAGCAAGTTAATTTCGCAAACTACATATCTACATGAATGTTTGATGCCGAAAATAATGCCTGTACAAATCCTCACTCCCTAACAAGAGAATGGTCGAAACCGAAGTAGCTAATTCAGACAAGCTGCAACTCAGACAGTCGGTGGGATACCTCCAGAGGGGAAAATGGGGGTGTCCGGGGTTTCCTCAGCGCGGGTTTGCCACTCGTTCTACGGAGCCCTCCCATTTGTGCTCCGGATGTCCCCGCCGCATACTGTAGCCTAATCAAGCTCCAAACTCCAATTATGCCCCTAATCCCACCCAAATTAGCTCTAGACCAGGGTCGAGCAAACGGTGTGGCATACGACCGCCGGATACGATCCCCCTCCCCCTCTCCCTCTCCCCCCCCCCCGGGTAGAAATCAGCACGACCCTCCACCCCGTTCTCTACCCCTCCCACCCACAGCGTTTGTAGATAGCAAGATAGAAGAATGAGGACGAGACGAGACATTTATTTCAAATTGACTGCAAAAAATTTACTGCATATTGCAAATACACTTCACTTCACTGTTCAAAGTTCTCATCTTAGACTCATCATCAGTGCGATTTGTAGGTATGGTAGTGATCACGTCCACTGATCCCTCGGTACTTTCGACCTCTTCGAATAAGCAATCACAGCAACAGCAGCAGCAAAAGAACAGACAAGGACACACGCAACGCGGCTCATTCAATTCTCTCCTCTGTAACGGAATAACAACAAAAGTAGAAAGAAAATAGATGTACTTATCAACGATAGCAACAAAATATACCTGACTACTCCCTCTGATAGAAAATCACCGACCCGCTAACAACAACAATAAATGAAACAAAGTAGAGATAGTGGAACTAAACAGACCCGATAAGAATATCAAAAAGTACAAGCTGAACAGCGTTAACTCTACCGAATCCTTGAAGAGAAAGAGGTCAAAAAGAAGTGAATAGATGTTGGCAGTTAGTGTGAAAAGATTGATCATCCGCTGATTTTTCAGTAGCACCACCGTAACCAACGAGTAGAATGTGAACATCGAAACGGCAAACAACAAGAAACAACTGATAATGGAGGCTCCCCAATCAAGTTGAGCCAGATTCTTGTACTCTAAAACGGCCGTGAAATAAAGGATTTGATTTGCGATTCATTGCATGCACATACTATGGCCAGAAATTTATAAAGAAGTAATATTTCAGTCCCCTCAAAATATATAAAATTAATAGATGAAGACCAAAAAACAATGAGCTCCCTCTGAGAATGTTTGCAAGGCTCTTGTTGGTGGTTTATTGAGTCATAAAACTGTGCTGGCTTGTTTTGTGGGCAATTAAAGTAACTTTCGAATTAATACTATGGAATTATCAGCTTGAGTAAAGAATTTTTTGAGACGGACTAAACACGTTCTCTTTTTATAAGATTTAGTGGTTGTAGGCAGGATTTTGGAAAGCGTTTATCGAAAGCATGGCTTACGCTAATCCTCTTCATTCAGCCAATCATTCCAAGGTACTCCATGCGACTATGCTGTTTCACAAGAAATCCTTGGAAACATTGGCTAATGCATAGAGAAGGCAGAGTAGATCACCAAAAACTCGTTGGTTGCCTGGAAATTGATGCTATTATAGAAAGTAGGCAATTCTCTTATCCTCGGAAACTGCTTTGTTCATTCTTTGCTACAAAAAAGCAGAAATTTGTTCTTGGGCTTTCGAAACATCCAGAGATAACGTAAGAAATGACCTTGCCAACAATTTTAGTCTCAAAAGTGACATCTTAAACCTTAGAATCAGGGGGGCAGAAAACTCAAAAAAGCTATTTGTCGCATGAACCGTACAGAGTCTTCTAAGGGCAGGTTTTCTTTGAAGACAATCCACTTTACGCAAAACCCAATATTCAGATTCAATATTTCAGCACTAACCTTTAAGGGCAGCGTTTCGGCAGATTTTGCATTTCCATCTTTTTGCATGTTTGGGCCTTCCCGACCCGTAGATCCCGAATCTGAGCTTTAAAAGTGGTGAGAAGGCCTTTTTCGGGGCTTTTTTTTTCAATTTCCAAAAGGCAGCTCGGACGAGAATTTCAAAGGAAAGGCGGGAGGCCCTGGCACGAAGACCCTGCTGCCTGTAATTTTGGCTTTGTATAGCATGCACAATGCGGGGAACCGGTTGGGGGGTCCCGCGCCGTCTAGCGGAGAATATTCGTCCGAACAAGGTGCTAGGGGAGCGAAAGGAGGAAGGGTAGCGGCGCTTGGGCCGCCTCCCTGGCTTGCAGAGTTCACATTTTCGGCGCGGAGTTGCTGTTTTGGTTCACATGGAGGGCCTCCTATCCATCTGTGGCAAAATCTGAGGTAGGTCAATCTGCCGAGCCGCTGCCTTTAATAGTTCCCTTCTCATCCAAAATACCCATCAAACAAGCTAAAAACTTACGCCGTTTTGAAAATATCAGACAAGTGAAAGGAGAAATATTATTCAAAAGAGATGAAAAGTATACTCACTGGAAATTGGTTTGTGACTGGGACTACAGCCTTTATTGGGATAAACAACATTAAGCAGTTCGACATTTCCTCTAGAATCACATCCTCACAACAATCTCACGTTTTTCTCGTCCGCTGAATTTGCCGAAGAGCAAAGCATAGAAGACCGGCGAATATAAAGAGAGATACTAAAAATGCTACAGCCTTTATAACGCCAGACGTTAAGTTTATACTGCAACTCATGCCAATAACTAATGATCTAAATAAACTGCACTTACGTACAAGCGTACAAGCGCAATTGGCAGATGATGTTGTTTTAGTGAACATACCCCAAGACAACATCAAAAAGCAATTGGTCCGCAATAGATTGTATGACAGACAATGCGTAATGCAGAACTGCGTTGTTTGCACAAATGAGAGGTTAGGAGACTGTTCGAAATGCGGAGTGATTTACCAGCTAGAATGTAAGATATGCCATGCCATTTACATAGGCGA